AATTGCATGTCTTATTTACTTCTAATAATTAGGTTAGCTGTGCATTACGAAGAACATGTATAATTTTTGAGGCAGCTCTGTTGTAACTTAGCGTTCGCAATTGAAATATGCACTCTTTGACTGCCAAAAAATGTATAGTTTTGACAGTCTAACCTATAGTTAGAACTATACTAATTATCTCATTTATGTGTTTCAGATGAAGAAGATTGTGGCTAAAATAGAACGGCATTACAAAAAGCAATTGCAATAAGCATGAAGTAAGAGATAATATTGTACCTCTGTTGTCATTCAGGTGCCTCCTCTTGTTGCCCATGATTGTAGATTTCTTAATTTGCCTCATCTACATATTCTGTGTGTCCTAATCTCTGTATTATTTTTTTCAGTTTAGATTTATGAATATTGAATAACTGATATTTGTATTAAGGTTTCTTAGATGTTCATTATTTATAATTGTAAAAAAACTTTACAGCAAGGTAGTTTTTTGAAAAGTAGACAATCATGGTGTGTGCTATCAGTGTGTGCTATTTAATTTCTTCAGTAAATAATGGTGTTCCCAAGTTATTAATAATGTAGATTCTTGATTGATTCTCTCTTAGCAAATTACTGACATTCTTTTTCCAAGAATTTTGCAAATGCTTAATAATTTTTCTGCTGCACAGTTTTTTAAAGTGATATATTTGTTAGATTTGGCAAATTTTGAAGTTCAAAATGTCTATTGGTGTATTTATAGAGTTCATTGAATTGAAAAATCCTTTTTTTAAGAACTGTTTACTATATTATTTCAATTTAGTCATCTTTAATAAATTATAACAGCTAATTTTGATTAATGTCACCAAACTGTTAGGTCAAAAAATTCTTTTTATTTTCTGGCAAAAAAGTATTATAATTACAGTAACGGTTTGGTTTTGTAATTTTTTGTTTTTAAACTTGGACTAATACTTAACACTTTTCACCTCTTATTCTTTTAAAACAGTTTTTTAGTTTAAGTTAATTTAAGGAATCCAAATCTTTTAAAATCTGATGCATTAGTGATAATCTTTCATGCCTTGAAGTATTCTGAACAATTATTCACATATACTAGGAATTATTCAGACCCAAAATTACTTTTATTTTTGTTCAAAAAGTAATTTAATTACAGTAAGTTTTTGGTTTTCTATTTTTTTTAAAAAAAATTTGGACAATGTTGGTTTTTATTGAGGTTTGTATTCACTGTAAGAATCAATAGTAGCAGCCACACTTTAAACAGATTTCTAGCTTTCAAAAAAAAAAAGTAATGTTTACACAGATTCTTAGCTTTCAAATCTCTATGCTCCCTGTATTCGATCTTAGAGATATGTAATAGAAATCGAAATATCTAAATCATTTTGAGATCTCCAAAAATAATTAGTCAATCTATATTTATGACTTAAATGTATCAATCGATGAAACTTGACCTATAACTAATACTTAACCACTAACTACTTTATTTGTTTTGAATTAATTTTCCAATGTTGAATGATATTGTTGATTTTATTTTTTTTTTACCTTAGGTTTTTTTATATATGACTTGGCAGTTATATAGTCAGAATAAAGAGAAAACATGAAAAATAGTGAGATTGGCAGTCAATTAGAAATACACTTTAGTGAACTTAGGTTACAATGAATTAGAGCACCAAAATTGTCTAAGTACTATCATTCTTTATGCTGGTCTTGAATTAGCCATGTTCATATTTTTTTTTTTTGGTTGAAAAAGTATTTTAATTACAGTAAGTTTTTGGTTTTTTTTTTTTTTTTTAGGGTTTTGGGTTTTGGGTTTTGGGTTTTGAATTAATTTTCCAATGTTGAATGATATTGTTGTTTGTATTTTTTTTTACCTTAGGTTTTTTATATATGACTTGGCAGTTATATAGTCAGAATAGAGAGAAAACATGAAAAATAGTTATATTGGCAGTGAATTAGAAATACACTTTAGTGAACTTAGGTAACATTGAATTATACCACCAAAATTATCTAAGTATTATCATTCTTGATGCTGGTCTTGAAGCAATTCCAACTGCATCCTCAGGCTCATGTACTCATTGACCTTGCCATAAAAGTCATTTAAGTAAACATCCTGAATACTTTGTTAAACACACACACACACACACAAAAAAAAAAAAAAAAAAACAGAGAGAATAATAGTAACACATCTAACAATAGATAACCAAAACATAATATAAAATAGGCACACAAAATAACAAAATACATCCACATCAACTGTCTTCAGAGTTTAAAAGGAACACAAAATAAGAGTTTAAGTGGATCATAAATATAAAAAACTTAGCACAATTCATAGTTTTGAAAGTTTTTAAAAACTCCAATTAGTCTTTCAGTCCTGTTTTTCCTTCTTCACTACTGCCACCTTAGACCTTTTCATCCCTTTTGAGGATGAAAACTCATCCATCAATGATCTTTTCACAGAATCTAAATCAGCTTTATCATTCAGCGGGGTTTGTGAGGGCTGTGTATTAGCAGGACTATTGACCTCTTCTCCCTTAGATGCTTCCTGCAAATTAGGAAATCAATATAAGTTTGAACTGAATTTCTAACTGTGTATATGTATATGTAATTCAATTAAAAGTTAAAAAATTTCACCTCAGAATGTTGACTATGGTTTTCATTCTCTTCAATCATATGTGAAATGAGATCTTTCTCTTGATTATCAAACAATTTGTCACAATAGCTTGAGAATAAGTCCTCATGCCTAAGGACTTTCAGTACATTGAAACATGGATTAAGGCCTATCATTTGTGCTCTCTTAAACCCAACTTTGAAAATCATTCTCATCCCAGTAAGTACCTCCAATTCAGGTGGAATGTCAACATCAACCTGCTAAGTATTACGGTAATTAACATTAAATTGTGGTCCTAGGTAGTAAATAAAATTAATGTGGAATTAATAAACTACCTTTCTGTACTTCTTATACAAAACAACAGCTGGAATGCCAACCAATTCAGCCACTTCCCTATCCCATAGAAGGAAAGGTACAGAAAGGTACCTTTCTGGAACTACCTTTCTGTACTTCTTATACAAAACAACAGCTGGAATGCCAACCAATTCAGCCACTTCCCTATCCCATAGAAGGAATGGGGCATCTTTTGTTTTGTCTAAGGCTTTTATCACCACTTGATATCGGGTTGTACCTTCCTGATATTGTTTTTGACACTTTTCACACAATAGGTATCCTTCCTTTTTCTTAAGTTTCCTATTACACCCCGGTTTCATGCACGCTAGGTAGTACTACTCACCTTTTGAAGCCTCTATAGCCATTATTTCAGCAGGGACATAATAAATGACCATCCTGTAATATTTTTAAAACAATTAGGGTCAGCATAAGATGAAACATTTGACAGAAAAAAATAATAATAAATCACTCACCACTGCAAGCTTATATAGATCATATATTGTAGACACAATCAGTTCACCATTTTTGAAACCACTAATGCCAGCGGATTCCGAGTGCATATTGCCAGTGCTTATACTCTTTACAGGATGATCTTGCACTTTTAAACTTAGAAAAAAAATACAAAAATTACAGCATCTAAATCAGCTGAATTGCATAGGCAGCATAGACATAATTATTTAAGTATATGCAGTTAATATACTTACTGTGATCTGAATTCCTTGAACTCATCAAAATCCCCATTAAACCATAACTTTGTCGCATCATATGATGAAGTTATTCTCACCTCACCTTAAAAACAGAAAACTTTTTTTTTTTTTTAAATCACCATTTAAACTATTTTCACAGTAAGAATAATTAGAAAATATGACTAAGGTTAAAAAACTTACCACTTACCACCTTAGCCCTACAACACTAAATGACTACAACTACTGATTCGTTGGAATCAGAATTGTAGTAAGGCATGATAGAGTCAACATGGGCATCCCACAAGGTACACATCAAGTAATTGTCACTGTATATGTTTAAGGGTTTAGGGTAGATTCAGTTAATCAGAAAAGACATTATTTGAATGCGTATCTTACTCATTGTCACTGATTTGAAAGTCAATCAGTTTGGCAGCTTTCCCACCAATAATCTTCTCCACGGGATTAAAGATCTCAACCACACGACCAATCACATCTGCCAAATATGAATATTATATAATAATCTATCAGTATTTATAAGAACCTAGAAGTAGTGTTAATATGAAAAGTATTAATGTATTACCAATTAGCTGTTTGTCATTAACTTCGTTTGGATCTTTCAGAGATGCAAAACTGGTTAACCGAAACATATGCATTGGAAAGCCTAAAGAATTTATCTGTTTCACTTCTGTTTGGTAGTTAAACCTAAGCATATATGCGTGTTGAGTGATCTTGTACATGTAGAAATTTGTCACAGGATAAAAATTCTTGATCTCATATAGCTGCCCTTCTTTTATAATATCTTTGTATTTCACAACATCTTTTTTCTGAATGGTGGCATGTATATAATCTCCCTGCAAATAAGTAATAGTTTAGATCATGAGACATAATCAATTGTGGGCAGTTTACTTATAGCAGGTAATTCTACAAACAACAATGTGAATAAGATAAATAATATTGATGCCCAACTCTGCCTTGCACATTGAATAACATATATACTGTTATGTTTTGCAGAATGCAGAGCCATCAATGACAAAATGTTTCTGTGTAAAAAAGTGTAGTTGAAATATTGGTTTCTTGGAAGACCATTTAAAAAAAAAAAAAAAACAGATGAAATAGGTCATTTTTCATATAATACTTTTCTGACTTTAATAAGAGTTTTATTCTACATTTTCCTTCTATTTTAACATTTCAGTATTTTTTGGTGATCAGATGAACAGGTATGAAACATCAAGCAGCATAAGAAAAGATAGCATGATATGAACAGCAAGATAAGATTTTTGTATATTGGTTGCTTGCCAGAGCATTTCAAATAATACTTTTCTGACTTTAATAAGAGTTTTATTCTACATTTTGCTTCTCTTTTAACATTTCTGTATTTTTTTGGCGATCAG